AGTTCCTTCGTTTTTATTGTAGTTAGTATTCCATTATAGGTGTATGTTCCAGTTTGTTGGAACTCAGTTGGAACTCAGTTGATAGTGGACAAAGGGATAATGTGAATTCATTCTTCAGTTGATGATGGATAAAAGTTTTTCTTAATTTTTTTTTTCTTTTTAGCGTTAGCGACATCGCTGAACCTGCCTTCTGCGTCCTTACACAAGGGGTTTTCATGGCGTGTGCCTAGAAGTGGCATTATGTCGTGTGTATCTGCTTTTTGTGAGGAATCACTGGGGTCCTCTTTAAAGCAATGAGTTACTGTGGTGTTTTTAAGCAGTACAATTCATTAAAAAGTTTATTGGTGAACATATTTTTTAAAGAAAGATTTCATGATGTGCTACTTATTCTTTTAAAATGGCTTTAGATGAAGCCTGTTTTTCTTTTTGGCTATGCAAGACCAGATAAAAATGCAATTTTAATAAGATAAAATGAGATGCCTTTTAGTCTGAGCTTGAACTTTGCTGGAACATTTTCTGCTCAATAAACACAAGTGGTGTGCCCATGAAGAATTAATGCACTGGCGCTTTCCTGGGAGGCAAGGGGCCTGCAGCGTGTGGTAACACTGCAAGACCCATGGAAATGCCTTGCACATAGAGGGCAGAGGCCCACTGCCTGCTGGTTTTGAGCCCTATTCGTGTACTGAGACATAAGGGAAGGGTGCAAGCCAGCAAGGTAGGTGCATAGTACCGGTGAATGCTGTCTGTAGGTCACTTGGCGGTAGTCAAGCTGCTGCCATTTATGGCTGTCTCATTTCTTACACGTTCTTATTCCCATTTCCGAGACGAGGAAGCTAAAGCCTAGAGCAATTACCCAGGCCCTTTGGTTCTTAAAACAGGAAACCTACCAAGGTCGGGGAAGCCTCCAAGAGATTTCTGGAAAGGGACCACGACAGAGGGGTTGTGCATGACCTCCGTGGGCTGATACTCTTTCTTTCCAACAATGACAACAAACCCCCAAACCCTCCTGGATTCTGTGGGTCAGACTGGTCTCTTTTCCATGGTGTCACTGGGAAGGTTCAGAGGCTGGGAGGGAAATCAGAAGAAGGCTGGTGACTCACGCCTGTCGAGGTTGATGCCGGCCGTCATCAGCTGGGACACCCCCTTGAAGCTGTTGGTTCTAGTGCTTACATGTGGGCTTCTTCAAAGCCTGGTGGCTGGGTTCCAAGGGAGAACCCAAGAGAACCAGGTGGAAACTGTGCTGCCTTTAAAAACTTACATCTTCATTGAGACTCACATATAATAATAGTTCACCCATTAAAATTCACGTACAACACCATTCCCTCATTTAAGGGGTGAAAGTCAGTGGTACTGCGGTGTATCCGTCGCCACAGTCAACGTTAGAATATGTTTGTCCCCTCAGGAAGAAGCCCTGTAGTCTTCTGCTGTCACCCCAGTCTCCCATCCTCCACCCAGGCAACCACTAGTCTCCCTTCTGTCTCCCTTCTAGACATTTCATGTCAGTGAGATCATAGAATAGGTGTTTTTTTTTTAAGATTTTTATTTGTTTGACAGAGAGGGAGTGTTAGTGAGAGCAGGAACAAGCAGGGGGAGTGGGAGAGGGAGAAGCAGGCCTCCCTCGGAGCAGGGAGCCCGACGTGGGGCTCGATCCCAGGACCCCGGGATCAGGACCTGAGCCGAAGGCAGACACCCAATGGCTGAGCCACCCCGGCGCCCCAGAATAGGTGTTTTTTCATGACTGGCTTCCCACGCGTAGCGTGATGGTTTCAAGGTTCTTCCGTGTTACAGCGTGAGCTAGCACTTTATTTTTTAGCTGATGACTATTTCACTGAATAATATTCCAGTTTACCATGTTTTTGTTGTCCAAGAACATTATAAATGCCAATTCATTTTTTTTATTTTTGTAGGTAAACTTAAAGGTTCGTGCGAGTTTGGAGTCCAGTGTGCTTGTCTTTGCCTGCCTCGTACTCCTCATAACCCCGTCGCAATGTGGGGGCTATCGAATGTCCGTTAAATTTTGCTGAAACATTTTAGGATATAAAAGGGAACATTTTCTGTAATTAAAATGTTGTGTCACAGGCACAGACATGGAGGAATGAATGGAAAACTGAAAAAATGCCCCAGCATAGAGTAATCTCCTGCGTATTGAAGACAGTGTCCGCAAACCAGTAGGGAATAGGATAGGTTTTTAACCAATGTCATTGGAGCAGTGGATTATTTTTTAAAAAAGTTTTCTGCAGGCGCCTGGGTGGCTCAATCCTTAAGCGTCTGCCTTCGGCTCAGGTCATGATATCAGGGTCCTGGGATCGAGCCCCACATCGGGCTCCCTGCTCGGCGGGGAGCCTCCTTCTCCCACTCCCACTGCTTGTGTTCCTGCTATCGCTCTCTCTCTCTCTGTCAAAAGAAAAAAATGTTTTCTACAGTCTGTAGCAAAATAAAATAAATTCTAGGTGACTCAATACTCAAGGGTAAAAAATAAAACCACACAAGTGTGGAACTAGGACACAGTTGGAGATTTATGCCATCTCAGTAAGTCGGCTGGGCTGAATGTTCGTGCGCTCCCAAAACTCACAGGAAGCCCTACCCACCAGACTGAGGGTGTTAGGAGGTGGGGGTTTTGAGGGGGTGAGGAGGTCCTGAGGCCAGAGTCCCCCATGGTGGGATTGGAGCCTTTATAAAAGAGACCCCAGAGAGCTTCCCTGCCTCTTCCGCTGGGTGGGGACGCAGCAGAAGGCACCAGCTGAGGCCCTCACCAGATACCAAATCTGCCAGCACCTTGATCTTGGACGTCCAGCCTCCAGAACTGTGGGGAATAAATGTCTTTGTTTATAAGCTGCCACATGCGTGGTATTTTTGTTATAGCAGCCGGGATGGACTAAGACAGTTGGGGGTGGGCCTTTTTAAGTAGAGTCCTCAAAGGAGAGCCCCGTGTAACGCATAAAAGTGAGGTTGACTTAACCACAGAGACCTTTAAGCTTCCATAAGCCAAGAGGATGGCTTTGTCACCTGTCTTTCACCATTCTGTTCTCTTTTGGTTTTCTGCTGCTGCTGTAACAAATCAGCATAACCCTATTGGCTTATAATACACACTTGCTGTCTTATAGTTCTGGTGCTGGGCTAAGATGAAGGTGTTGGCAGGGCTGCAGTGCCCCCGAGACCCGTGCTCTTTCTCATCTTCTTGCCGTGCCCGCGTTCTCGGGTGGTTGATATCTCCTGCTCATTTCTCATGGTGGCATGAGGCTGGGGAACCTCTAGGCCTCACATGTGTGTTCCAGGCAGATGAGGAAGGGCCCACACTGCTGGTGACCGAGCTGCGCTGGGTCACAGGGCCTCCCCTGGCTGGACGCCTCCGCCGAGGAAAGGGTGCGGGTGCGGCAACTCAGTGGACCGCCCTGGTGTCTGCCACGGGGGCTGTTTTGTTTCCATCTGTTTTCCAAGTTTACTCTGATGAACAGAAGACTTTATTTTTAAATTTAATTTTTATCTTTTTTAAAAAGATTTTACTTATTAGAGAGGGAGAGAGAGAGAGAGAGAGAGAGAGAGAGAGGGCACGAGTGGGGGAGCAGCAGTGGGAGAGGGAGAAGCAGGCTTCCCGCGGAGCAGGGAGCTCAATGTGGGGCTCGATCCCAGGACCCTGGGATCATGACCTGACCTGAAGGCAGACGCTTAACCGACTGAGCCCCCCGGGCGCCCCCAGAAAACTTTTATAATAAAATCATTAAGTCTTTAAAAAACACATTTATCTTCTTTTCGTGATTCTGCATTCTGTTTTTGACGAAATGGCAGCAGATGGGAATTTCCAGACGGGCATTTCAGCATTAGTTCGTAGTCCTGCCGCTGGCACACGGTCCGGGAGCAGAGGCTGCTGGAACTGGGCGATGCTGAGTGGCTCCCAGCTCCCAGCAGCCTCGTCGGCAGCGGCGCCTGAGGCCCTGCCGATGCGGTCAGGGCTGCGGCTCCCCGGGCTGAGGCCCATTTGCCCGGCAGGCTGAATGCCCCGTTGTGTGTGTGGCGTGGACCTGTGTGGCGCCATTCATCCCTTCCAGACGGGCCCTCGGGACCCGTGGCAGCTGAGGGAGAGTTGCTGCTCAGGCGTGTAGGTTACTGGGAACTGGTCCTTTTCCCGAGTTAGTGTGGGCTCTTGAGGAAGCTGGAGAGAAGCTAATCGGTTTTCCTTTCTTTTTAAACAGCATCCGGCATGTGTACGGCGCCCAGCACCCCCCCTTCGACCCACTGTTACACGGCACGTAAGTGAGGCCTGTGGTCATGCTGCATCACGCACGCGCCTGGGCGTCCTGGTGACCCGCCGGCCTCCTCGGGGTCCTGAGGGGAGCAGCGTGGTCTTCCCTCGAGCAGACACGCGCCAGGGCCTCGCACGACTGGTCCTGCGGACAAGGGCAGAGGAGGAAGCCCAGCCCAAAGTGGAGGAGAGCACGAAGCTGGCACCCCCTTAGCTGATGGGGAGGGCCTGGCCCCGGGCCTGTTCTCGGTGGTCAGCTCACTTCCCTTGCCCTCCACTGCACGCTCTGCCCCTGTGTCTGGCTCCTCCACCAGAGCCACGCAGGGGGCTGGTGTGACCCCCCGCCCGTGCTGGCGGGTGTCACTGGGCCCCCCGCGGGGGCTCTTGCCCTAGTGGTGCTGTGTCGCGTCTGCACGCCGAAGGACAGCCGCTCCTGCCCCCGCCGCCCCCACTGCTGCCTTAGGTTTGCGGGCACTGGCCCGTGTGAGGTTTGGGGACTCCCTGTGAATGCCGTGACTGCGGTGCTGGGGTTCCTCCTGAGTGGCTTCTGTCACTGAGCAGAGACTGCTCAGCGGTACTGCCCCTCGAGAGCCTCTCCTTCCTGCCCCCGAATCCTAGGAGTCCTCTTCTGTTTTTTTTTTAGGATTATTTATTTGAGAAAGAGCGAGGGCACAAGAGTGGGGGGGGTAGGGAGGGGGGCGAGGGAGAAGCAGACTCCCCACCAAGCAGGGAGTCGGATGTGGGGCTCGATCCCAGGACCCCGGGATCACAGCCTGAGCCGAAGGCAGACATTTAACCGACTGAGCCCCCTGGGTGCCCCAGGAGTCCTCTCTCGGATGCCTCTTTGGGTTGTGCTTGCTCTTCACCCTCAGCTCAGTTGACACTGGAAGCTTGAATGTGCACCTTTCATCCAAGGGCTCCTTTCTGACCGGTCGTGGGGTGAGTCCGCTCCAGCCTCCGAGGGGACAGCTGAAGTCTGCCTTTGCTTTGCAGCTTGCTCAAGGGCGCGCCGAAGGTGCCCGCCACACCTGTGAAGGCCAAGAGCATCAGCACCTTCCCGGAGTTTGGGAGCAACACCAGCGACGCCTGGGATGCCGGCGAGGACGATGACGGGCTCCTGGCCGTGGCAGGCGAGAGCCTGAACACCGATGTGGTCATGGAGACGGCCCACCGCGTCCTGCGCAACCACAGCCAGCGGCAGGAGCGCCGCAAGCCGCAGGAGGCGCCGGGCCCCGGGCAGGAGCCACAGCCTTCGGCAGAGCCTCCTTCGGTCCCGAGCGGTGACCTCCGGCTGGTGAAGTCCGTCAGCGAGAGCCACACATCCTGTCCTGCAGGTGGGCGGGGGCGCGAGGAGATGACGTGCAGTGCTGCGAGGGAGAGGGGCTGGAGGCCTCTCGGTGCGGGAGGTTAGCGGGCGTTCCGTCCTCTTTGCCACAGGAGCTCGTGCCCTTGGAAGACCTTGAGGTTGTGATCCACGTGCCCACAGGCCTTCCCAGGCAGGAGAAGCCGTAGACTTTTCTTTGTGTCCCCAGCTGAGTGCTTCTTTCTCTCCTCTGGGTGGAGGGTGTGGTGTGTGGCTTTCGTGGCCTGGCTGTGAGAGGCCCACAGTGAGCACCAGGCCCCAGGGGACTGTGTCTCCCTTCTGAGTGTGCCCCGGTTGTCCCAGGGGGAAATTTCCAGCTCAGGGGCCAGGCCAACTGCACGTTCAGAGGCTGCACCTCCTCCGGCAGCTTCCAATGACACCCCTCCCCCGCCGGGACATCTGCACGTGGCTCAGAGTCTGTAGGGGGCAGAGTCTGGGGTGTGGAATGACTGCCTCCAGGTCATAAACTCAAGGATGCGATCAGCGCATGTCTTGTACCCCGTGCCTGGTGCTCAGTAGCCTTTCTGGAGACGGCTCTCAGTAGCTTTGCTTTTTGTTTTTGGGGGTGTCTATGATGTAAAACAACCCAGTATTTGATGAGCCTCTGTGATGGGCCAGACTCTTAGGGCTTGGGGTGCCCCCAGGAAGTCCCTGGCCTGGAGTGTGTGTTCTGGTGAGGGGGACAAGCACCGACCTACACGTTGGGTCAGTAAGGAGGCCTGAATCGTGCGGGGAGGAGACAAGCGCCCTGGGTCGAGACAGAGGTGGGAGGTGGCGACAGCAGCCTGGACCTGGGGCGTAATCTTCAGTCAGAGCGTCCAGATGCCCTCCTGAGAAGGTGACACGAGCATCAGTGAGGTGAGGCAGTGAGGCGTGGGGAGCTGGTGGCAGAGGGGCCAGCCTGCACTGCGGCGGACTCACGGCCTCCCTCTCCCAGGGTCTCTGGGGGTCAGGGGGACTGCCCCTTGTTTACAGAGGAGAGAAGAGGGCATCGGGCAGCCTCAGCTTGCCCTGCTGGGACCACGGAGCTGGCGTTCATCCCCCTGTCTAGTTTTCAGAAACCCGTCCCGGGAGCTGACTAATGTTTGGAACATCACACGTCATCGTGGGTGAGAACGCTGTGAATTAGTTCCTTTGACCAGTTTTCATATTGGAATCTGAACTGTTTTTCTCCAAAATAGGCTGAACTTCAAAGTATTTGAGTTTAAAAATGAAAATCTGGTTAGGGCTTCTGCGAGTGGGTCGGGGTTCCCCGAGACTGACGCATCCTATGCCGATTACCGCCTGCGCGCCCCGGCCGGGCAGTGCCCTCAGCCTGGGTGCCTGTTCAAGTTGGCAGGCGCCCCGGATTCCTCTGCCCTCTGCTGTGCCCCACGCCTCTGGGGCCTGGGTAGAGCCTCTGTGACACCTGCCATCTGAGCAGTTGCTGGGGGGCGGGCCTCAGCACCCGTAGAGGTGGGGGCCCATCTCGGCTGAGCGGGCAGGCTCCTGTTCTCTCAGGCCGTGGGGCTGCTGCGAAGAGCACCAGAGGCCGATGGTGCATGAGCAGCAGAAAGTTAGGTCTCCTCGTTCTGGAGGCTGGAAGTCAGGTCAGGCGGCCAACACGGTTGGGTCCTGGCTCTCTTCGGGGCGCAGACAGCTGCCTTCTCACAGTATCCCAACATGGGGGAGACTAGAGAGGGGAAACAGACTGTCTCGTGACTCCTCAGGAGCACAGATCCCATCAGGGGACCCCACCCTCCTGACTTCCTCTAAACCTGAGGCCCTTCTTCCTAACACCGTCCCGTCTGGGGAAGGACTTGCGCATACGGACTTTGGGGCCTCACAGCATTCAGCCCATGGCCAGGTATGCAGTTGGGCTGCATCCTGCCAGGGTGGGGAGCCTTGGGGTGGCCTCCTCCTGTAAAAGCCAGGTGAAGGATGCCCCAAGCGGCTCATGCTGGGGAAGGGGCCGATTACTGTGTTTGCCTCTGCCTCCACCCGCTTGCGCATCAACCATCTTTGCTTTGCTTTCTGAGCAGGCTTTTTGTGAGCAGTTCATTTCATGATAGCTAGTGTTTATCCATCGCTTACTGTGGGGCAGAGACTGTCTCGGGCCCTCGTCGTGAACAGATCCCTCTGACTTTGCAGCCAGTCTAGGAGAGAGCTTACGGGGGAGGTATAGGGAGGTCACGTGGCTCGCCCAGCATGCTGAGCGGTGGGGTAGGGTTCAAGTCCAGGGCGTCTGAGGCCAGGGCCTGCTGCTAGCTGCTGACCTCCCCACAGAGAGCAGGGCCTCTTCGCTGGTGATGCCGCCCCCAGGGGACATGAGGTCCTGTTTTAGGACCTTTCCTGTTAACATCTGGGGCAGGGAGTGTGTGCTCCTGGCATGAAGTGGGCAGAGACCAGGGTGCCTGGCCCCCAGGGGACTCTCTGGCCCGACCGTGCACAATGCCAAGGAGGGGAGGGCCGCTCTGGAGCCCGAGGTGGCCTCTCAGGGAGCCGACCCCACGGGTGGCTGGCAGTGGTGCGCAGAACTCGTGGGCCTGTGTTCAGTTCCCTTGGTGGGCTGTTAGTCGTGGGGATGGCTTACTCGGTGTTGGCGCTAAGACGACCACGTCAGCCCTCATTCTTACTGGGCTGGGCCCGGCGCAGATGTGTTGACTGGCAGGCAGTCTAGTGGGGAAACACAAGGATCTGAGTCTTTCACCTCCCTGGGTGGAATGGAGCCTTGGAGTGATGGACAGGACCCAGAAGCACCCACGGGTAGAAGTCCCAGTTCAGTCTTGTTGAGGAGGGCCAGGACGTGTCAGGGAAGGCTTCAGGGAGGAGGTGATGTCTCTAAGGTTACCCGTAGGGTGAGGCTCCAGGCTTAGGAGGTGGGGCCATCCCAGCCGAGGGGAGGTGCCGGGTGGGCTGGGCTGGCTGACTGCACACCTCATCTACGTGGTTTGCAAGTTCCCCCAAGGCAGGGACCATGTCCCATTACCTTTGTTTCCCTTTGGGGTCCTGTGTCATTACGTGAATGTTGCTGAGCTAAACTGAGGTGTCTTCAGGGCCTGGTGACCGCGGGCTCTCCCCTCCTCCATGTTCTGCCCCACTCTTGTCCCTGCACCGGCCCCACGGCCCAGGGCCAGGCCAGGCCTCTGTTGAGGTGAGGGACCTGTGAGTGCCATTTCATGTGACTGTGCTCCTCGGAGCGGAGTTGTGTTTCTGGGGCCTGGACGCTGTGTTTCACCGGGCCCAGTCTGATCAGAGTGCTGCCTGCCCTTCCCACTTCCGGCATTGTGTCGGTGCCTGTCCCTTTATGGTGCGCCACCGTGGGAGCTCACATCACCCCACGCAGCGTCCACAGGGCCTGCTGGCTGCCCTCGCCTTTGGCCTTCAGCCCTGGGTAGATGACAGCCTGAAAGTTCCGGGATGCTGCAGCAGGGGTCTCCGGCCTGCCTTCCCCGCGCCTCCTGCTTACCTTTCGACTGTCCTCACTTTCTTAATCAGCGTCTGAGGTATCTGTACCTTTGTATCTGAAGTCAGATGCCGTTTGCTTGGTCTAGGGTGCTGCTGGCGTAATGGGGAGCCTGCGCCTTTGGCTGCGAAGGGCTCAGTGGGCGTGGCTGGGGAGGACTGTCCATCGCTGATGGGGACTGAGATGCAAGTGGGTCCTGGGTGGACACTGGCTGCCCCGGAGGGGGACACTGATGTGTTTTCCACTTACAGTAGCAGGGAGACCTGCTGTTGACCTTCTTGCTTCCTCGGGGGGCAGGGGGCATCACTGTGCCTTGCAAACCCTGCCTGTCCCATCTTAGAGGGGGACCGGATGTGTGCTCTGCTCAGGACGACGTGGTCCTTACATGTCGGAGTAGATCACAGGGATGCTCTCTAAGATGGCAGAGAAGTAAAACTCAGCACGTTTGGTTCCGCGTTAGAACGAGGAATCCCTCCCCCCGCCCATCGTCTTTCCTGAGGAATCATGACGCACAGCAGAGTGGCAGATTCCGAGGGCGGGGAGGAGGGGGTCTGAGCATCGCTGCCCTGGGCCTCCCGGAGGGCAGGCCGGTGGGGACACCTCCTCCAAGTGAGGGGTCAGCCCTGCGGAGGGGCTGGGACTTGCCCTCACCTCGACGCCCACCTCTCCAGGCTTTTCTGGAAGCTTAAGTGGGCCAGACACTGCTCCTCTGTAGCCTGAGGGTTTCTGTGTGAAGCCTTTCCAGGCCGTGATTTTAGGGTAATGAGTCAGCTCTGCGGGAAGAAGGGGGTCGGTGGGAGTCTGACAGCGGCGGCGAGGAGCCGGCATGTTTTCTTCACTTTGTTTGGTTCCCGCCCCATCTCCTGGAGTTGGTTTTTTCCTCTACTTTAAATTTCAGTTCTGGGAGATGTGACCATTCAAGGGTATTTAGACCTGGGGGTGTACAGCCTGGTGCTGCCTGTTCCTGTGGGCCCCTCGTTGGTCCCTGGTGGCTCTTTCTGAGTGGGTGTTGGGCCTTGGGCTCTTTTCTGTGGCTCTTCCTGGTCCGGGTTCCTGGATTTAACACACGGTTTCACTTCGGCCCTGTGTGTCCCCGTCGGTGGGCCTTTGTGCGTGGTGGTAGGTGGTGCCCTGGGGCGGGGGGTGCTGGGCAGGCCTGCAACCTGCTGCCCCTCCCCTGCTTGCATGCGCTCTAGCTTCCTGTGCTTTCTCTTGGTGATGGTCCCTGCCCGCCTCCCTCATGGGGCTTGGGGAGATCCAAGGGGTGCAGTGCCTTTGTGGGCTTCATGCTCCTCCACGTGTGGCTCGGTGGCTTCCTTCTGTGCTCAGGCCCAGGTGAGCCCCACAGGCACCAGCAGATCCTTGGGTTGTGTCACCTGGGCAGGCCTGCTAGCAGTGGGGGAGCCGGGGGGGTCTGGAGTTTTCTGGTTGTCGTTTTGCTTTTGTGTGAGGCATGTCTGTTTTCCCAGGGAGTAACGCTCTACCAATAAGGCCAGTGGGCTTCTTGGGTGTTCACTAGTTTCACTTTATTGCCCCGGTCACGCGGGTCTGCACTGGCCGGTTAGGGGAGGAGGGGATGGCTGTGGCACGGTGGCGTTCCCGAAGGGCAGGTGGCGCGGGTGGGAGCCTTCTTACTGGGGAACAGGGCCGTGGGGGGGGTCCAGGAGGCCGTCCTCACCCCCTGCGCGCTCTCTCCGCAGATAGCGCCGGCGACACTGCTCCTCTGCAGCGGTCCCAGTCTCTCCCACACTCGGTGGCGGCCGCCATGGGTGGCACGTCTGACCCCAGCGCCCTCAGCAGCTCAGCGTTAAGTGAACGAGAGGCCTCCCGGCTCGACAAGTTCAAGCAGCTCCTTGCCGGCCCGAACACAGACCTCGGTGAGTCCCCTGCTGGCGGAGGGCACGTGCACCTGCGCCCCCACGTGTGGTTTACTTTGTCAGAGGGCGATGTGTTTGTGCCGTCCTGCGCGAGTCACAGAGATGAGCCGTTTGTCCTTGAGGTTTACTTCAGCTGTGTGTTGGTCATGGGCTTCCGGGGCCATTGATCTGGTATTTTCTGTTCTGTTCTATTTTTTAATGCTCCGATTGAACTCCTTTGGCTTCTTGGGGCTGAACTGGTTTGCTCCACAGGACTGGCCAGCTTGGTGTCCCTGCTTTTCAGAGTCTTCGTGGGGACAAGGAGCTGGTGACCGGGGTCCTGAGTGCTGCTGACTTTACACCTTCCTTGGTGTAAAGTGTGGGATAGGCCGTGAACACCCCGGGAGCCCAGGCGGGGCTGGGGTGGGCGGGCCAGCAGGGGGCCGTACAGTCAGCAGTGTGGTTCTCAGGGGTCACCATGGCCGCGGGGCCGCTCTGCCACCAGGCTCTGAGGCGGGTGCTCGCCTCCAAGTCCATTTGCTGGGCTTCCCCTCGAAGCCGCGTCCTTTCCTCGGTACGTCTCATCTTTGCGGAGTGCCACGCTGCATCGGGCATCTTGCTGGCTGCGGGGGCTCTCCGGAAGGTGGGATGTGGCCGCGGTCACGAGATCACGCATGGTGGAGGGTGGGTGCCAGGGTGGCATGGAGGGCTGGCGCGCCTCGGCAGCAGTGCCCCGCTCCGCCAGCAGGTGGCGCGTGAGGCACAGGGCTGGGCTGCCCAGCAGGGAGGCGGGCGGAGGTAGAGCGAGCATGGAGCTGAAGGATAGGCCGCGTCCCTGAGGATGCTGCTCCCCTTGTGGGTGCAGAAGGGTTCCTTCCCGCGAGTTTCTGCGTTTTCATTTTCCTGATTGATTTGCTCACGCACACGTAAGACAGTCACGCGGCAGCAGAGGATGTGCGGTAAAAATGTGTCGCTCTCCTCTTCCCCAGGCCTGCTTTCCCTCCTTCGCGTGATTCCAGGTGTCTTCTTCCAGGGACAGGAAGGGAGGCCTCTCGTTCTCTTAACGCTGAGCTGCTGAGGGCGCTGGGGTCAGATCACGCACATGACAATGCACGTGACGTCTTAAACCTTTTATTTTGGTGTAATTTCAAATGTAGAAGAAAGTTGCAAGAACGGGTTAGGGTTAGGGTAGGTGACCCTGTGACCCATGCAGCCCCACAGTCAGCATGTTGGAGCCAGGAACACTCCCCCTGTGCTGAGCTCCCGGGCAAACCCTGCAGGTCCCCTCCCCTGGCTGACCCCCTGAAGGTTCTGTCCCCACCTGCCATGAGTTGGAAGTCCCCACAACCTCCTCTTCAGGTTTGGATAATCTGCTCCAGTGGCTCATGGAACTCAGAGAAACATGTGTGATTCTTGGGCAGCCATGAATCTCAGCTTCTTCATGATGGGGGGCAGCCCAGCAGCTGAGTGACCATGCAGGGCTGCCTCTGCTTTTATTTCATTTTTTTATCAGAAAAGCAAGGGCAGTTGCCTCAAAGCGTGGGAGAGGAGGACAAAGGGATGGCAAGTATCCTGAAGTGGTAAAGCAGTCCTGCACCCTCCCCTAGGGGCAGGCACTCAGGGAGGCAGTCATGGGATAAGGGAAAAGTGGGATGTTTGTGCTAGCAAGCACCAGGTGCAGAAAGGGGACCTGAGGGTTACATTCTTTCCTAGCTCCTAACCTGTGCCCTGCCCCTGGGGATCATGGGATCCTGCTCCTACTGGGCCCTTGCGTTCAATAGTCTGAGAACAGGAACGCTGTTGACCTTTCAGCTGCTTCCACAATCACTCCTGAGGGCTTACAATATATTTTCTAAGAATAATTCCACACTTCCTCCGTGAGGTGGACTACCTGGTATGCACAGAGGTGGACATGAAGTTCTGCGACCACGTGAGTATGGAGATCCTGGCCCCCCTCTTCGGCACCCTGCACCCCGGTTTCTACCAGGCAGCCCGCAAGGACTTCAGCTACAAGCATTGGCCACAGTCCCAGGCACACATCCCCAGGGACAAGGGCGACTTTTACTACATGAGGACCTTTTTTGGGGGGTCGGTGGTAGAGGTTCACCGAATGACCTTGGCCTGTCACCAGGCAATGGGGGTCAACCTGGCCACTGAGATTGAGGCTGTGTGGCACAATGAGAGCCACCTGAACAGGTACTTGCTGGACCATAAGCCCATTAAGGTGCTGTCCCCAGAGGACCCGTGGGACCCTCAGCTGCTGGGCTGTCCCCGAGAGGACCTGTGGGATCCACAGCTGCTGGGCTACGCCCCATCATGAAGAAGCTGAGATTCATGGCTGTGCCCAAGAATCACCAGGACATCAGCAGTGGTTATTACTTGAGGAGTCATTTTGGTGCCCACCGGGTCTTTCACTTGAGTTAACAGATGAGCCCGAAGGAAGGACGTCATCAGTTAGGAAGTACAGACGAAGGTCAGAGTGGAGGTGGGCAAAGGCCTCTTTAACTCAGAGAGCGGGGGAGCCCCGAGCTTCTTCTACACACCTTGCCCTGCTCATCGATTCCAGCTGCCTGGCTCTGAGTTCTGTCCTTTTAATGAACTGGTCATCTAGTAAGTAACATGTTTCTCAGAGTTCCATGAGCCACTGGAGCAGATTATTCAAACCTGAAGAGGAGGTTGTGGGGACTTCCAGTCTGTAGCCCATAGCTCGGAAACAGGGGTGACCTCTCTGCCCAGCCACTGGCTGACCACTGAGTTAACAGCACAGGGATTCAGTGGCCACACACAGCAAAGAATACAGACTTGACAAAGTGAGTTCAGAAAAGTCACTAAGCCAACAGTAGCAACTACAATGAGCAGCAATCATGAAGCCTGGAGTGGGGAAGGTCTGATGTTCAGGATGCTTCCATTATAATATTCATAATCACACCCTGGACTTGTCACTGGGGCCAAGTCCCCCGGCTGGGGGTCAGGTAGCTCCTACATATTCCACGTGCCTCTCTCTGGCTCCCCCAGCCGTGCACAGTCCTATGCTGCTTCCCAGCAGAGGTCGGTTTTAACCAAAGCCAGGAACATGGGATGGGTTTTCCTGACTCCCCACCCCCTGCCCCACAGAGCTGCAAGAGAGGAAAAAGATTTCCTCAACCCTGTTAAGGTCCCCGGCTGAGTCTGGAAATTGACAAAGACAGATGAACAGGAGAAAAGCAAGCAAAATGTATTGGTTGCTTTGGTGGGAGCCTCACAAGACCATGAAGACCAGCAGAGGTGACTGGAGCAGACAGCTCTTCTACCTTTTAGACAAAGAAGCAGTAAGTGTGTGAAGAATTGACAGACGCAGGGGTTTGGACTAGGGCTCGTAAACGGTAAAGAAGTAACTAGGAAGATAAGGGTTAGTTTAACCAGGTGTGTGTGTATAGACCCCGTGATCCTAAATTCCTTGACTCTGGTGATAAGCACGTCATCTCTGTGGTCCGGGGCGAGAAAGTTCCACATGGCAGTCTTCTGACCTGCTTAAGGGAAAAAGGGCTGATGGCTGGGGGTCAGAGAGACCTTCTTGCTTTGCTCTATGCAAAAGTTCTTTTAGCTTCTGTATTTATTTTGCCAAGGTGCCATATTCAGGGTAGTGTGTCCTGACCCTCACTGGCCTGGTGCTGTACTCTGCCTCCTAGTATCAGGACATTGGATGTGCTGCTGTGGAGACCTTCCAGCCCTGGGGTAGCCCCTTGTCCAGGGAGGCACCTGCCTCAAGGGGAGGGTCGCTAAGGGTGGCCGCCCCTCCTCAGGGAGATTGGGTGGGAGAATGCAGATCTTACTTCGAGAAACTGACTTTATTTCCTGAAAAGGTCTACCTGATAGTGGGATCATACGGGAGTTCTTTTTTTAGTATTTTGGGGAAGCTTCATCCTTTTCCCAGCATGGGTGTGCCAACCAAAGTCAATTCCAGATGATTTTTACCTATAAACCAGAGATTTTGCAAGAACCTCTCCAGCAGAGAACATGAGGAGAACAGTTTCAAGACCTTAGACAGGCAGAGATTTCCCAGGATGCAAAATATACTAACCGTAGGAACAAACTGGTGACTTAGAAACTATGAAATGAAGAACTGGTTCTCCTTCTTCCATTTCTGGCTAGTGTGCTGGTCTGTGCCTCGATCTCACCTCAGGCAGCTGAAAGGTTGACCTCCCAGGTCAGCTACCACTGAGATGGCTACTGTTTCTAGAAATTCTTCGGGGTGTGGCCGGTTTTCCCCACCTGTGCACTGATCAAGTCGGCGACCTTGGACAGTGGAGCCATGGGTCCTCCAGGCATGGTTCTCCCCCAATGCCCCAGTAAAGCCATTCCACTGAGGGTTTAGGGGGACCGGAGCTGCCCCTAGGCAAAAACACCAGAGGTTCTCACTGTCCCTACCTGGCCTTCAGATGCTCCTCAGTTACTCCTGTGCCTCTGGTGTCTTCCTGGAACCCTGACCTGGCTGGTTTTGGACAGTTTGTCCAGTGGTACCCTCACTTTCTGGGAGGGGGATTTGCTGGAATCCGCAGTGTGTCCTGCAGCCCCACCGGGATCACTTTTTGAAGGCACGTCGCCTGGGCCATCTGAGGACTCAAGACTGTGGGTCTGTGGCTTGGAGGGATTCTGAGCAGCTGGTGGGATTCTGAGCGCTGGTGGGATGGGAGGGCTGCAAGGCCCAGAGGCAGGTTTCCAGGAAGCTGTCTGGGGTCCCCAGCATCCTGCCGTTTTTGAATCAAAGCCCTGAGATCTTTAAAATGCCAGCAACGTTACAGCATGGGCCAGAAAAGCAAATGTCCCTGTGCACCCAACACCAACTAAACTATTGGCCATTTCTTGTCACTTGAGTTGAGTAGAAAGGATTGGGAGTCAGGGCTTGAGGGGGGTCCTGGGTCAGACTTTGCGTTTGGGGGACAAAGGTCATCCGGACAAGCTTGTGCTGAGGCTGAGGAGGGGGTCTGTGTGGAGACCCCAGCTGCAGGCACTGCTGTCCAATGATGCCCCCTCAGCCCGAC